CCGATTGCATTCCAATTTGTTAATGCTATATTTCTATGGGCTCGTATCAACATTATTGTTATTAAAAAATGATGTTACTGTGTTCTGAATTGTATTGATTATTGATGGTATGAGCAAGTTTATGAAGTTAATAATACAGGACGATATAGAATTAAGTATTGTATTTAAAAGGGGATTATTATTATTTTGTAGATTTTGTTTAGTATGGTTTAGTATGTGATCTCATATTGTTATCGAATCCTGAGTTGTTTACAAGGTGGTTGTTCCTAGTGAACTTACGTATTGGCTGGGTAGGGGGTAGTGATGGAAATTGTTTTTGTTGGTTGCTAAGGGATGATGGTGGTTTCTTTAGTATGCATTTCTTGTGTTATTGGAAGGGGTGTTTTTCTTTTCAACAATTTCCCCATAGTATAAACAGTTATCATTTCTTACATCTGCACGGTGATTGCCTTTGCAGGCATATCGACTGGGCAATATTCATTTTCGAAATATTCCCTACTAATATTTTAGGGGCTATTGTTGTGGATTCACGAAAAAACAAAGAGACAGATTGGTAGACAGACTGAAGGACGTATGGTCGTTTAAAATAAAAGCTTTTTCGCTTTCAGGGGACCCAAAAACGAGTACTTTCTAGGAAAAATTGAAACGATTACATAATTTTCTCATTATTATGTATATTACTGAGTACATACGTACATATACGAGAAAGTATAAACAGTTTTTTAGTAGCATTGTACTGAATTCTTGAATCTACGTTAAAATAACATCTTCCACAGCACTATATTACTTAATATATACGAACGTATACCCAAAATGAAAATATGTCAAATAATCGCATGGAAAATCTGAAAAGGTTCTTTTCGCTACTAAGCAAGGAATTAACCGAATCGCTTTAATTTAAAATAATAATTGTTGTAGGCTGCGCTTCAGATTGCTGCTGCTCTCCGTGTTGGCGATGGGTTTGAGCACTCTGCCATCGTCATCGAGGAAAGGACGCCATAACATCATTCGGCGGTTGAAATGGGACTACGATATAAAGAGGAATTACGAATCCCTGACAACTCTCCTGTCGTGCTTGGACGACCCTAGACCTTTTCAGGTGACGTACAGAAATCCTTGGGGTTCATAGTATTGTAGTGTCTATCTATCTATCTATCTATCTATCTATCTATTTAGCGTTTTTTACAGCCTTGGCCGTTCTCCGCATCCCAATTTCAATGCCTCTTTATCCCAAACATCGTTTTCTTCCATTTCTCTTTTTTCCATGGCTTCAGTTATTGCCATGTTCCATGTTCTTCTCGGTCTTCCCCTGTATCTTCTTCGATTTGGTATCCACTCCCAAACTTTTTGAGGAAGTCTATCCGATTTCAACCTTCTCATATGTCCATACCTTTTTAGTTGTTTCATTTCGATCGTCTCGTTCAAGGTTGTTTGCACTTTGATTTTATTTCTTATATCATCATTTCTTATTTTATCTAACAGAGAAAGTTTACAACATCTTCGCCAGACATCATTTCTGTTGATTGAAATTTGTGTTTCAAATTTTTTGATAGTATCCAGACGTCTCTCCACAGTGTGGTACTCTCTCTGAAGGAGCTATATATGCGTTTCTTTGTCTGCATTGAAATAATTGACTTCCATACCACTGGATTCGTCTTGTGGCTATTTTTCCTCTTATAATTTAATTTTTCACATCTTGTTCATCTCTGCCATCTGCTGTTAGTGTGACTCCCAAATACTTATATTGTGTTTTACCCTTAATTATTCCTATACTAGTCTCTAAATCATGGGGCATTCCTCCCACCACCATGTATTCAGTTTTTTGTAAATTTATTTCCATACCCCATTTTTCATGATTCATTCATCTTCATCTTCAGCCATTATCACCTGGTCGTCTGCAAATAGCAGACTAAACAATGTTTCATCACCTATTTTCACATCCATGCTTTTGCACTTTATTTTCCATTCTTTTAGGGCTTTATAAATGTATATCTTAAACACTGTTGGATATATACAGCAGCCTTGCTGTAATCCTTTATTTACTGGGAAGTTGTCTGATAGACATTTTCCCACTTTTCTTGACTTTTGTTATCTTTATTAAGTTGTTTGACTGCATTTATGCATTCTGTTGATATTCATTTTTCTTCCATTGCCCCCATACTTCTTTTACTGGTACATTATCATAAGCCTTTTTGAGATCAATAAAAATTATATGACGTTCTCGTCCTCGCTCAATTGTTTTTTCCATCAGTTGTTTGAGAGAGAAAATATTGTCAATAAACGATCTTCCTGGTCTAAAACCACTTTGCTCTTCTGAATCTGATGTTTGCATTTCAATTCTATTCTTTAGCACACGATATATATATATATATATATATATATATATATATATATATATATATATATATATATATATATCCCTTTATAATTATTACAATCTTTTTTACAACCTTTTTTGTAAATTGACTTTATATAGGCTATTTTCCATATTTCAGGTATTTTACCTCCTTTTAAAATGCCATTGAATATTTCAGTAATGAATTTCAAACCTACAATAGGATAATGTTTAACCAGCTCCAGGCTCAGGTGCTTTATTATTTGCCATGTTACACTTTTTTCAACTCTTCCAAAGTCACATCTGGTGTGATCGAATTTACGTGCAGTGGTTCATAATTTATTCGCTGAAATTTAGCTCTATTTTCTGTCAAAATATTTTCAAAGTGTTTTTGCCATTTTCAATACCAATTGGGTCTACTAAATGGCATTCTTGGGTTGTATTCAATTTCATGGAATGTAACATTTTCCATGCCTCTCTGGATTTAGTATTACCAATGCACTTGTCTAATGTGTCACATTTGTTCCCAGAATACATTTTTTGCCTTCTTCACTTCTTTCTTGACCAAATATGTCATTCTGTTGTATTCACTTCTGTCTTCTAAATCCTTTGTGGAAAGCCATTTCAAATATCTTTCTTTTCTTCGACCAGGTTCTTTATAGCTTCTGTCGACCACAAGTCTTTTTGTTTATATTCACATTTTGCCTTCTCTTCCAAAGCTTCTTTAGCGGCTTTATGAGTGCATTTTTCTAAGAATTGGTATTTTTCTTCAGTATTTCCTATTGGGATGAACTTTAATTTTTCTGCCATGCGCAATTTGTACAAAAATTCAATGGAATCATCTTGAAGGCTCTCAATATTGTATTTCGGCCACATCTGACTCTCTATTTTTCCACCTTTTGTACTTGGTTTTGTGTTTCCGTAACTTTTGAAGTACGGTTTATACATAAGGTAAGCTTTTCCTTTTAGTAGATAGTGATCTGATCCACAGGAAGCACCTCTTTGAACCCGAACATTGCTCCACTTTATTGATGACTGTTGTTTAGTAATTATGTAGTTAATTATTAATTGCAATTTTCTAGTGGGTTGGGTCAACGTGAATTTCTGTATTTCTTTATGTGGAAAATAGCCATTCAATATTTTAAGATAATTCAGTTCACATGTCTCTATAAGTCTTTCTCCATTGTCATTTAATACATTTTCACCATATCTCCCAACAAGATTATGCGCCATTCGTTTTCCAACTCTTCCATTAAAATTACCTAGAAGTACCACTTCTTTGCGATTTCCAATAGAATCCAACAGCATAGTCAGTTTCTCTACAAAAATATTTTTCTGCAACACTTGCATCGTCTGTTGGAGCATACATTCCTATAATAAAAACATTGCGTCCTCTTAGTACAAGTTCGAGATATGCTATTCTCTCATCATTTGTTTCCCAGCTATGAATATTTTTCTCCAATCTTTTACGTACAGCTATGGACACTACTGCTCTTGCACGCTTTTCTTTTCCCACTCCACTAAACAAGTGAACATAATTTCCTTTCCTTTCATTTCCATTTCCCTTCTTTTTTGTTTCACTCAACACTATTATATCTATGTTAAACTCCTCTATTGCGTTAAAAACTTCATTTACTTTAGTGCTTAAACCTTGAACATTCCAGCATCCAAAATTCATAGACCATTTTCTTTGCCTTTGTGGACGTCGTGAGTTAATCCGAGGCTCATTTCCATTTAAAGTTTGAGCGGCTTTTTTTTTTATTTTCCGAGTATGGGGGTGCTGACCCCATGCCTCAACCCTCTTCCAGGAGGACCGGGTAATTTTCTTTTAGGGTTTTCTTCCCTTCGATTGAGTGTCTTCCAAGACTCCAAGTCCTCCAAGAGTTCAATCTACCCCTATTTGAAGCACTTCTACTTCTGAACAGGAAAAAGGGAATGGTGAGGATACACCTAAGGTTAGAAAACGGAAGCCCCCGAGCTACTCAGCGATGGCAATTTGTTAAGCTCTTCTGCGCCATCAGGAAGGCCTTCCACGCCTACCGCCTAAATTTTATTTTGTTGGTTTCAGGTTGTTGAGAATTTAAAAATTGAGATACCTAATAACATAGCTGTGCATTCCTTTAAACATAAATCATTTTGAGTTTGTTGTTTGCGAACACCTACCTTTGGTATTTAATAGACAAGTCATCACCTGTTCCCATATGTCTCACTGCACTGATCTAGAACTCATCTGAGAAGAGTGTCTGATCTACTGTGAATACCCAAGAGCTATTTGCAGTTTATAGTAAATTTTCTTGACGAGACTAATGATTTTGATTTTCCGTCAATAAGGATTAAACTCTTTAAGTTTTTATTGCATACGTTTTTATTTATATTTTATCCAAGAACTGTACACTGGGTCTTTTAGACCCCATCAACATTTCAAATTCACACCAACTGGAAATTTTTGACGACAGCTAATTACCTCGGTGGTGCAACTAGAGTTTATTGGACCCCAGTGTGTAGTTTCTGGTTGTTTCTAAAACAAATAATAAAATACGTACTATTCTTCTTTTAATGTTTTTCCCAAGTAACAATTCGAATTCACAATATTTTGGTTCCATCTGATTGCTGTGTGATGATTTTAGAGTGTATTCATAATTACGTATACTATTAAAATCTGAAGAAACATTGGAAGTTAAAAAATATGAAATATTTACTTTTTAATGTTTTATTTTTATGTTTTTCTTGTTTTCATGCATACTCAGATGAAAATAAAATACTATTACACAGTTTTGAATCATACATAATTTTCTGAATGTTTTGTAATAATAACATTCTTTGCGTCTGTGGGATCTCTGTGTGCAGTTTGTTTCAAAAAAGTGTGCAATTGCAGGTTTATTTACAATTATTATTTATTTTGCAATACCCCTGTCGAACGTCATCGCCATATTACTAACTAACGCGCCACCCGCTTGTCACCCTGCCCTTCCCTTCTCCCACAATACAACTACGTAGCGAATGGGACCAGGCATCGTGACAACCATCTCTTACATACATGGCTTTATAATGTTTCTTTAATGACTGACCATTCTGCTGAACAACTCGGGTATCCAGACATTGCTCCTTATTTCAACAATCACCCACAGACCGTATATAACACTACTAACACCTTAATAAAATAATCACTCGCGATGCAGTACCCTGAAATAAAATAACCTTTGTAAACCCTTTTAACGAAATAACCCATCGAACATGTCCCCAGCCCTAAAATACAACCGCATAAAAATAATCTGGGATCGCATCCTATACCTTAATAAAGAAACCTCCCCCACAATGCCTTCCCTTATCACAATTACCTGCCTATATACTAGACGCACTAAATTAACGTCTTCTCATGTCCAAAGCATCACCCATCCGTTCCCGCTTCCCATAGTCATTCTCTCATAGCCAAGATTGTTAACTCCACCATGTTTATATGACACACATGCTGAGGAGTACAGTTCTTGAACCTGTAGCTATAGTAAACACACACACACACACACACACATGCACGCAATGACCCTTTGAGTGTTTCTCTGTGCACAGGCGACGATTGTGCCGCCTTTCGATCTGCCTCGCCCGTGGAGTGTGGCAGCCCTGGCGAACGCAATTGGTATCCCTGTGATGATGGACGAGAACCACAAATCGCTTGGATACGTTCACATCCTGCCGACGGAAGCCAAGACAATAAATCCGTGGTTGCTCACGCTCGCGCTGTGGATGTCGAAAGCAACCAACCCTCTGGGCCTTTTCGTCATCATGTACGTGAACGTGAGAGGCCTGGACGAATCCATAGTTCAAGCGGTGCACTCGGCGTTCTTCAGCCGGCTCGGCACCACCCGCGTCGTCCAGCTCTTCCCGGTGAAGGACGCGTCGGTGGCGATCGCGGACTCGTACGACTGGGCGCGCAAGAAGTGGGACGTGCAGGGGCTCTTCCTGCCCGAATTCTGTAGCGGGCAACGCGACGAGCGCACCAAGAAACTTCAGTTGACCACCAAACTCCAGCAGCTGAAGGGCAGCCGATACGGATTCCTGGTGCCCGAGCAAAACATTTGGGTGAATAAGAGAGGTGCGCCACGTATAGGTGGACGTGAGGTTATGTTTGCCATGTTGTTATTTTATCATGGAATGATATGGGTACCCATGCCCAATGGTTCATCTATGGGACAGAGTCTTGCAGAAACGAAAATTGACATTGGTTTGAACGTAAATAATCTTGCAGTCTACTGGTCAGAAGACAACTTAGATATTGTGGAATTTTCTGCCGTTACTGAGCAGGTAATGACACAATAAGAAAGATGTTTAGCAGGCGCAAAGTAAGTAAACAATAAGCGATGAAATGAAACCGCAGATAGTAATGCTCTTTCTCATGTAAATACATAGATGTACGACAAACGTCCGTCATGGATATGCAGACTATTCTATTTAAGCGTTTAACATGAGAGAGTTTTTTTTTTCAAGTATATTTCCTCTTCGTGCACATTTCTTTGCCATTATTTTATTTTAAATACTTACTATTTCCTGTTTGCGTTATTTGTGACCAAACTAACAAATTGTTGACATATAAGACAACTTCCATCAAATACCTGGCGTTTAGATTTCACATTTCTAATTTAGTGGTGTTACAAAATATAATATTATCTCTTACTATTATTTACAAATGTTAGGTGGTATTAAGCTACTAGTTGGCTGGAAAATGAGTTTCCAACCCACAAAGCATTTCGCGTGGCTGGATCTCGGACCTCGGCCCATAAACGATGTCCTACCGGCTGAATCAGAACACCTTCTCCACGGGCACTCAGGCCGCAGATACGGAGAGGTTTCTAAAGGAGCGCCCGCTTCGACATCCACTGCTGGCACCATAACTGCGGGTTATGTCCATTCTCTCAATTCGTCAAAACGTTGGCTTAGTTAACTCATTAGTAAATGATTTTCGTCGCTATCTCTTGCAATGCCATCGCTCTAAATAACATTCATTTGTTTCCTGGCCTGTCAAAGCAGTCCCTTCTTACAGTAACTCCTCTCTGTAAAGGGTTTGATTTTACGGTACACAAAAAAAATTGCTCCTGTGTCATTTCTACGATCATACTTTGGTATATTCCAACAAAAATGGGAAAAAGAATAAACGTTTTGAAAAACTCAAATAATTTTTAGACTTCCTGTAAAGTACTCAACATTCGAATATTATTTTCAACCATGACAAGAGCCACAACATCTGCCCCATCTATAGGAGAATATAAAAAATTGATCTGCGCAAGGTTTACACGCCATCAGTATTCAGTCATACGGACACAGTACTTTTGCCGAATACGCCTATTTTTATATCAAAGATGTACAAAACGTGGTTTCTAACTACACTTTGTATTCGGTAATATATTTTAAAACATTATAGAAACATGAAAAATCCACTCCTTTGGTTGGACCCTCCTTGCCTTTCCAATCGCGTCAACAATAAAGCATTTGTCCCGTGAGTGTCGTACAGGTTTAGTGCAGGGGATGGGGCTTGACTTCCTGTGCTGGGCGGTGAGATCCGGCGTTAACCTACATGTCGGTTGGAAGAGTTTCCCCATCCAGGTATCTCCCACCAGCGTGGCGCCGCCCCAGCCGGGACAAGCTCTAATCTCCCCACCGGTCTCCCGGCATGTGTGGCAGTGTATGCATGCAGATATAATTGTGTGAAAGGGGTGAGGACACACCAAAAGAGAGGATGGAAAATTCACGTGCGTTTCGTAGCCCGCTTTGATACTGCTCCGGCATTCGCCTGGTGTTGATCGGGGAAACGACGGTAAAACACCGATCAGAGCAGCCGGTGGCTAGAATTCTCCTCCAGACAGCGACTGGGTTCGAGCTGCTATCTAGCTTGTGTCGAAAATACTGCCACCTTCTGGACCCAAACTAGTATCTCCCGGTCAAAGGGACTGCAGTGACACCACTTGATGCTCTGAGCCACCTCTTCCGATTTGCTGCCCTGAGATCGAGCTTCCTAGAACTCGCCACGGCTCCCTTAACGCGTCCCTCCGCGTGTTCAACCCGCAGTGCTCGCCAGCCGACGAGGCGCTAGGCCTTCGCTCCGTGGAGGCGGTCTCCGTGGAGCTCTGTCCCTGTGGATCGAGTGCTGCGTTGGGGCTGCACCAGGCTGGGGTTGCCAGAGCTCTGTGCGACAGGCTCATGCTGAGATCCTTTATAGGCATGCTTCACACTGCTGGGCCTTTCTTCTATAACCCTGTCCATTCCCATTCAGGATCAATTCTGCATAGCTTACAGTTTCATACGCCAGTGACCACACATCACCAGTGACCATACGAAGTAGTTTTAAAATTTTGCACTAGAGCAACTAGCAATTACATGACTATTTTCCAGAGAGATATTTTAAAATCAGGTATTAGTAGTAACAAAATCATGAAGGGTGAAAATTAACGGAATTTTTTTTTATAAATTAGAAAACTCGGTATTCTTTGAGAGAGTCTGTAATGAACTTCCCTTTAGAGGATCTGCCACAAAACTGGGATGGCGTTTTACTTTTTCGATAATCATACGACGGGCCTGACACCACGACCCGCATTCTCTCCATTCTCCTCCCTCATATTCTTTTCTGACATATCGTCCGTGGTCGACAGTTTCTTTAATCACTTTTTGGGACTCATTGATCACCATTTGGAAGTTTAAACTGATTGATTTCATATTGAATAAACATTATGTAAATAAAAAATTTCACGAGCAAAACATTTATTTAAAAAAATGTGTTCTCTCGTAAACAAACACCGGCTTACACGTGAAAACAACAAATATACTTATGTGGTGGGATTTGTTTATTAAACCGTTCATGTTTGCTTTTTAACGAGATTTCTAATATTTTTGATTTGTGAATTACCTCAATACGTATTCACAATACAACAGTTATTTGCGCACAAAGAATAACAAAAAGGTCCTGTACGTAAACATAGCAGATGAATAGCAAATATTTAATGGTGGGCGAGCGGTCCCTTCCTTGGACTCTTCATATAGCATAACGTCAGCTGTGTCATGAGCAATGACGCACTATTATCCGCTCACCTTAAGAAAAATCTTGATGTAAACAAATGCATGTGTTAGGATGATTCTCATTGGTTTGCAGTGTGAGCTCTGCTACTCCAAGGATCGTGACGCTAAAGTAAATAGTTCTCAGTACAAGAGAACTCCGTATCGTTCTTTAAATTACCATTTCGTCAAAACTGTTGCAACGGTTTCGAGAAAAGAGACAACAGTGAGCTGAATGCGTGTTGCTGGGTGATAAGGTTACGAATCTCCGATAGTTCAGCGCACGGGCGTGCTGCGGCCCGTAGACGCCGATCGGCTGCAAGACCCTGCTATTCATTTCAGATTCAGTTCGCTTTACAATGAGAGTGAGGCTGGCTTTTCAATACCTTTCCACACAAGTGTGGAAAGTTTCTTTGGAGTAGCGAAACGCACATCGTTTTCAATTCGTTTTGAACTCGTTATTGCATAGGAATCCGTCGTTACCGGTGAAGCAAATCGCAGAGTTCACTGGAATATCCGTTATTAGCGTATTGAAACTCCGGAAAGAGCTCACTGGCAAATGACAACTACAAACGCCAGAGAATAAAAGAAGGGGTATAAACTGTGATTGAAGCATACAATGACTTTGTATTCAGTACAGTTCGATCGAAAGTGCATTCCTTGCATCAAAAGGGCAAAAGTGCAGAAACGAAACATCAACGCTTGCGAAATTCTTGCTTGTGAAATGCTCGTGAAATGCTTGTGAATTGTGAACAGGAA